TACTACTTCACAGAGCAATTTTAACATCAAAAACATTGAAAATTGAAAAGTTACCACAGGAAATATGCATTACCTAAATTTAGATCAAACTTAGAAGGAGAAGGAAAAAAGTAAAACAATGACTCTCTAACCTCCTGCTGTCCTTCTCCTTTCTCCAGTACACATGAGTTGCATGTCCATCACCTGCTGCACAGGGTTATTGAAGACGTGTTTCATTTCAAGGGAACAGAGTAACTTATTTAGTATGATAAAAGTTACTGAGCCTGAATCGCAGTTAACTGTCCAATTATTTTCACTTAGAAAAAAGCCATTAACAGAGTGTTTAACTTATTACTAACTTACTAAGGACAGGAAATACTTGATGGTATGCAGCTATTATTCCTAAAATAGTATTTTTTATAAGGTAGAGTATGTAAACAAGATATGTTTCTACCACATTTCCTAACCAACAGGAAACAGAAACAGTGACAGAAAAATTTCCAGTATGTTTACTGACTTATTTACACAATGGAGCATGGTTGATTCCTAACCAAAAGATATTCTTACATCCTTTCAAGTGCTACTGAGACACTTAGGATGAGGGTTTTGAAATAGTCTCTTTGTATTTGACTCAGTTAGAAAGGCAAACCACATTTTAAATTCATAGGGTCCTGAAATTTTCCCTACAAATGTGGTAGAATTGTGTTACTGTTTCTTAACAATTTTGTGTTAGGCAAATGTACAATTCTACTTTTTTTTTTTTTTCCTGGAACTGGGGTTTGAACTCAGGGCTTCAAACTTGGAAGCAGATGCTCTACCACTTGAGCCACTCTTCTTGCCCATTTTGCTGTAGTTATTTTGGAAGTCTCCAAACTATTTGCTCAGACTGGCCTAGAACTTTGATCCTTCCAAACTCAGCCTCCCAAGTACCTAAGATTACAGCCATGAGCGACCAGTGCCTGGTTTATACTTTTTTATTTAAGATGTTTTGGAAAGATCCTTTGTAATTTATTGAAATACTTATATTATTAAGATGCATGTGCTCTTTTTATTTCCTTCAAAGAACAAGTTGATTTGACACATGAAAAAATCATAAAGTCAGAGAAATGAAAAATTAAAGAAATCAAGTCTATTTTTCATTTTGGAGAACTTTTATAAAAATCTTTCTGACTCATTTTCTGCCTGAAATAGTTTAAACTAAGTACTCAAATTGATGTGGCTAATTTGAGCCTTCAAATAGATGCCTAAGCAAAACTTTGAAGTATCTTGGCAAAGCATTTTAAAGGAAGGCATTAATCTTTTTGTCTTGCAAAGAAATTGTGCCTAACAAAATGGATAAGGACTACAAGAACTTCTGATGACAATTAAAACTTAAAAATGTCAGAGAAGAAACTTTGTTTTTGTCAGAAACTTCATGTAATCAAATTCGTCTCTTCTAAAACTTAGAAGAAAATGCCAAGTCATTGAATTTTATTGTTAACCAGCCTAAGGGATATACATATGCTGACTTTATCTCCTTAAAGAACATTTAAAGTAAACTTATGGCAGGGATGTGGCATATAGGCCTATAAACTTAAAAAGTAAATAAATTTATAATAAGTTAATGTAAAACATATATTTTAAAAATTTGATGAAATAACTAGGCAAAGCAGTATTATTTCTAGTGACGAAAACTTCATCTGCATTTTCAGATAGAAAGCTGAATATTCATTCACTATTCATTCAAATAGTGAATAGTGTCCATAGCTATGAGTCTCCATAGAACCAGTTCCTTTTGATACTGAATTAAGTTCAGTATCCCTTCCCCGCCCCCAACCCCTGCCTGGCAGTGCTGGGGATTGAATTTAGAGCCTCACGCCCAGCAGCTACATGCCTCCCCCAATGTAGATTTATTCTTAAAATGGCAAAGGTTAAAATCTGAAAGTCAGTTTAATTTTGGTAAATTTTTTCTAAATAAAAATTATAGTTGAGGATATAGATTAGCATGCACAAGAACCCCAAGGTTTAGTTCCCCAGCACAGCAAGCATAAATAAATGGAATTTAAAACTTGATCAAGGAAAACAGTGGATTTTAAAATATTTTAATTAATGATAAATTTTCTTAAATACATTGATTTAAACCACCCAAATGTATTTTAAAATGCATACATATATAACATATTGCATGTCAAAAACATCTCATGTCAAATACTTACATATACTTAGCTTATTACATAATCACATTATTTTAGACACAAAAGTAGATTACAGAGAACCACAGATCCTGTCATCAGTACTCTTTGAAACTATGATGTTATTGTTGAGTTTGAGATGAATTATTGTACAATTGTGTGTGTATAAAAGGGGAGGAGGTAAAAAAGGAAAGACTGGTCTAGACCCAGACTATTTTTAATCTTTGATGTAAAAAAACTATCTTTTAGATATACCTGGGATGGGGGGGGCAAATATAAGTGCATTATTAAGAAAAATAACATATTTACTTTTTATATGCGCATGCTTATCTTGGATATTTCTCATCAAAGGCAATCTGCAAAGCTTTTTTCAAGAGGCAGCTTATCACAACTACGCCCTACCTCCCTCACCTTCCTCCCACACACACTGAGCTTCAAGAGCCACTTGTAAAGTACTCAACACCAGGCAGCATTGTAGTAGAGAAACTTGGTTTCATAGGGCAGATACATTTCACTGTTTATCAAAGCCTCTTTCTGATCTCTTTAACTCTGTTTATGATAAAACTATGCAGATATTTACCACATACACTTTTGAAACATTTTCCTGAGAAATCAATGGAAATTGTACAAATTTCTATAAGAAACTTTGGTTGATCCTGGGAAAAATTTTAAATTATGTGTTACTGATTAAAAGGCATTCACCTTCTTGACTGAGTGCCCACAGCTGTACTGCAAAAACTATCCTTGGAGGACAATAATGTTTATATAAAAAGTATTAATTTATACCTTATGTATTCAGCAAAACATGATAATTTACAGTACACATTTAAAGTATAGAAAGTCAGGAATAGGGAGTGGTTCAAGTGATAGAGCGCCTGCCTAGCAAGCTGGAGGCCCTGAGTTCAAACCCCAGTACTGCAAAAAAATAAATAAATAAAATATACAAAGCATTTTTATGCATTTAAAAGAAAAAAGTGGTTATCAAATGGTTATTGAAGTAGGTTCAGTTTTGCTCACCAGTCAACTCAGTGAGTACAGAACGACTGAAGTGGGTGATGTGAGTTTTCCAGGGCTTAGTTTCCTGGTGGCTCTAACAGTGTAAACATATAACTATAGGTTTTTTAAATGCAGCATAGGCCCTACCTGAACTACCTCATTTAGAACTCTGGTCAAAGAAGCCATGATATCCTGCCACTCTGGTGGAAAAGCTATGTTGCCCTTTGAGGAATATACAGTACAGGGCCTTCCTAAGAAGCTCTAAGGATTATTTTGTCTATACTTTAGGATACTAACTTTGGAATCTAACCCTTATCTAAGACATAACTCTCCCACACAGAGATACCTTACTCTTTTGTTAGAAATGGGTAACAAGAAAATTGTCTTATAATTGCTCTAATAGGACATTAGGAATTCCCTGGAAAATGGGTCTCCAACTTTATTGCTAAGCTAGTGTCTCTGAGAAGAATCAAATAAAATGTCGTTTCAACCTAAGAACATCCTTGGAGAAGTATATCTGATCAGAAGATATCCTAAGCCAGGTGTGGTGGTGCACACCTGTAATCTTAGCACGGGGGGCTAAGGCAGAAGGATTGCACATTCTAGGCCAGCCTGGTGCTACATAAGGAGAGCCTATTTCAAAAAATACATTTGTTGTAAGTTGCAAAAATCTTAGCAAATCCAGCCTCCATATGGAGGATAAAAGAGTAAGCCATTCTGATGTAAGTGCAACTCATTATCAGATGTATGACCTGTACATTTTTTTATTTGATTTGCCATAAGGAGTTACACTTTTCTTGACTCATGTCAAGGATTCAAAATCCAAAATCCATCCAGTGACTTTGAGGAAACTGCCTGACTTGTGTTCTTCCTCAGTACCAGAAAAATAAATATATATAATATATATTATATACATATCTCATTCTTGCCTGTTTCTTCACTAGAAAGTAATCCTAGCATTTGGCTCAGCCACTTCTTATGTGATTGCAATATCTAGTTTTTAAATACTGGCACATAGATGGTTCTTCTTAAATTAGTTTAGCTTCCTGGAAGGAGAAAAGTACTAGGTATTAAATAGTAGCGATGCCTTATGATTTTAGTATTGGAATTGAAACTGAATTTGAAAGAGGAGAACTCTAGAAACACTGGGGCTTTTGTAAAATCAAGTTAATAAGTGCTGTGTTTGGGACCCTTCACCTTTTATCCTGCTTCCTTACATTTTGTCACCTATGCTGGTGAATGACCGAGAAAGCTACTTGAAACTGAAAATGTAAGAAGAAAAATACCACTCAAATTTAAAAAGCAATGCTTAGCTAGTTCATGGTTATTTCAAGTTTGTTTCATGGCCATCACCACTCCATCAAACCCCCTCTCCCCCAAGGAGAAAAAAATGTCCTAAAAAGAAATGAACATTTGCTATTTGAGTCATGTTTTACAGCATTTTTTTGTGTGTTGTTGTTATTTCTTAGACTTAACCACAAAACCTAAATCCAAACTATAAGTCATAGTCCACTCAAGTTAATTAGAAAAGTACATACTCATAGTTATTTGAATGATTGACATAAAATAAACAAGAATTTATAAAATTGCCAATGAATCACAATAACTGATTCAGTCATCTTTTTTTTACTAGATGAGGGAATTCAAGACCAAAAGATTAAATGACTTGCCCTTTGTCAGTTTAATTTTTTTAAAAGATGATCAGTGACTGTTAGGCCTGCCTGAAATGTGTATGTATCTGCTCTTTTGTTTGGTCATGGAGCCTTACCACAGTTAGGTCTATAATTGCAAATGGGCTTGGGGAGCCCGCTCTTGGAATGGGCCTAGATGAACTCTTCTGTTTATTGACTGCAGCCTGGCAGTGAGCTGGACAACTTGGAGGAGATTTTGGATGATTTGCAAAATAGTCAATTACCACAGCTTTTCCCAGACACGAGGCCAGGCGCTCCTGCTGGATCAGTTGACAAGCAAGCCATCATCAATGACCTCATGCAACTCACGGCTGAAAACAGCCCTGTTACACCTGTTGGAGCCCAGAAAACAGCATTGCGAATTTCACAGAGCAGTGAGTATGAGATATTGTTGAGTTTTTCAAGCAATTCCCATATAATCACTATTAAAAACAAATTATTAACATAAGATACAAACAGCTTAGTCACTTAAGGGTTTTGTGACCAAATAGCACCATCTACTGTCCTGGTCTTTCAGAAACTGTTCAAAATGGATTCTGGTGCACACGGCTCCCTCACTGTCTCCTGTGGATAATGGTCCACGGCATGCATGCGGCAAGACTGACCCGCCAGGATAAAGTTCCTCATTGATTGTCATGTTGCCCTCCATTTCAGTTACTGTCTTCAGATGTGGGATTTAAAATAGGTTCCAAGTGTTTTAATAGACAACTGAATACTTAAAATGTAGAAAATTAGAGAATTATGCTGATTTTTTTAGGAAAAACATACATTAAGAAAGATTATGGACCCCGCATGGTTGTATGTGTCTACAATCCAAGCACTAGGAAGGCTGAGGCAGTAGAATTTTAAGTTCAAGTCCAGCCTGGGCTATAAAGTGAGACCCTATCTCAAAAAGAAAAGTGAAAGAAAAAAGAAATACTCTCCTCAAAACATTTGTTATACCTGAAAAGGCTACACACATTCAGAATACCTTGTCTTACGTCTTAAGAATACTCATGTAAATCTCTTTCACATAGAACTTTAATGTGTTTTCTAAGTGTATTTTAAGTTTAATTTGTTGTGCTATTTATAAAATACATTTTTATCTTTTATTTTAAATTTTTGTAAGTTAAGGGTAAACTCTATTCACTGTGTACACTTAGATTGTACTTGAATAATACCTTATGTTGTGCAATAGTTCTGAATGGGAAAAATACTTTTTCTGTAGCAGGGCCATAATTTAAATAGATGACCTCTTAGGTGTCAGAGAGCAGAATGAGTCTTTGTTCAAATAGTTGGACTCAACGCATAGCATTTATTATCAAATCAAACTAACAGCCATCAGCCTAATCATAGAATATCTATAATTATCAGATCGTTTCTTAAGTGATTTCTGATCATTCTGAAAAGGGAAAAGGAAAAAGAGTTTTGATTTATCTCTCAAACCTACCTTCTTGGAGAATGGAAAATTAAGTGCAGAATGGTAAGATCACAAAGTCAAAGAATTGAGAAGTGGGTAAGAAACACACAAGATAGTTCCTACTCATTAACCAGGGAAGATAAGGAAGGCCTGGATAGGGACACATGGCTCCTCCTCTATCTGTAGCTCCTAATGGGATTCAGCTTATTGAATGGTAGCCAGATAACTAACCTGAGGAGGTCATGATAAAGTGTGTACATAATTTCCATTTCCAGCCTCAATTTTTCTAAATATTTACTTCTATGGATTTTTAAGAAGTTACTCTTTCTTTTTAACTGCTGTTTCAAAGTGTGCTTATATAATCCAGAAAAAATAAAGTACTTGCTATTGTCTAATAAATTAGCTCTATAAATTATAATTTGTGATATCTTAGTATTTTAATATCACAATAAATTCTTTTGAACTGACCATAAAAATCATTTCCTATCTAAATGTGTCCAATTAAAGAAACTCTACTTAAAATAATAACCTTCAATTTAATACTGCTTCAGAGAACACAGTTTATACTGAAATATTTTAACTTCCAATGAGACTGTTTACTTTTAATTTAATTCTAAAATCAAGTTAAGAAATGGTACTCTAACCCAGGATGCTAAGACAGAAGGGTCTAAAGTTTGGGACCTTATTTCAATAACTAGACTCCATCTTTTAAAGAAAAAAAAAAAAAGCACTACTCCTATGTTTGAACAACAACACAAAAAAAATTGTTTACTATCAAATACAATTCAATATAAAAAATTACTGTTGGGGAGAAAATACATGTTAAATATTACACATGTGCTTTTTTTCTTTTCCTCTTTGCAAGAGCATTAAGCATTAGAGACTCAATTAGATCAAATGTCAACATTTTGGTGTTGTATATATTTTTTGTCTATGAATTTGTCTTTTGTGTAGGTAGTTGGTCCCTGATATGCATAACTTTTGTTATTTTACAGATGACATTTTCCCTCAACAATATTACTGTAATACTCTTCCATTATCCTATATTAACCTTCAATTTTATTTGTTTTCTCCTTAGCTTTTAATAACCCACGACCAGGGCAACTGGGCAGGTTATTGCCAAACCAGAATTTACCACTTGACATCACATTGCAAAGTCCAACTGGTTCTGGACCTTTCCCACCAATCAGAAACAGTAGTCCCTACTCAGTGATACCTCAGCCAGGAATGATGGGTAACCAAGGGATGATAGGAAACCAAGGAAACTTAGGGAACGGTAGCACAGGTAAGGGTTCAAATGCACTGTTACTTTATCGGTGGGTTATTTGGCTTAATGATGTATTCATCCACATCAAACTAGTAGTATTTTGCCAGTGAACTTCCTAGAAATTAACATGTGAAAGTAAAAAAAAAATCTACAAATTCTCAGTGTGAGAGCGGCATATTGGCAACCATTTTATTCTATTCTGATTGTTACTTTGACAAGGTCTCTGAACATTAATTCTCTCGCCTTGGTTTATTTCACTTCTATCCCACTTACTATTCTGAACATTGTTGGGTATGTATAAAATAAATTGGTGATTTGCTAGCTTCCAGTGCTAATCTGCTGATACCCCTAAAATTTCTTATTAGCAATTTGAGATTTTCAGAATGAAAGTTTAAAATTCAACCAGTCTTTCATACTTCTAAGTTATCCAATTCTCATTTAGGAGAATATTAATAAGGATCTTCAGCCAGACTTAGTGGCACTTGCCTGTATTTCCAGCTACTCAGGAGGTTAAGGTGGGAGGATCACTCAAGCCATGAGTTCAAGACCAGCCTGGGCATCAGAGTGAAACCCTGTCTAAAACAAAAGTAAAGAACTTTTACGAGTGGTCTGCCTGGTCTAATAATAACTTTCAGATCTGATCCATATATATTGATTGCCTATCATATATGCCAGGCACTGACTACTTCGTTAACTTATATATTCATTAATTATTCATAAAATAATGCCATAGTCACATTATTTTTAAGATTAAATGAAACACTGATTTATTTAAAATCCTTTAAGAAAAAGGAGTCCATGATTTATTAAAGGTGGCTCCCTATTAACAAAATACAAGAAGCTTTGAGTTACATAAATCTCAAAATTGGGGACATGCCTATATTGAAATTGGCCAGCCTAGAAATCACTGATATCCAGTCTGTAACGATCATATGATACCCTCATTCTGCTTCCAAAACGAACAAATGGACAAACTAAAAGAACTACCTCACTTATCATTACACTAATATTGTTGAACTAAAATGATTTTCTCTTATACTTTCTAGTCTTTCTATAATCTTGTTATACTATTTAGATAGTAGGTTTTTGGGGAAAATAAAGTGCCTTCTCGCCCGTAATGTATTGTATAGTACAAATCTAATCTTAAAGTGATTTTTAAATATGTATTAACCTGTTCCAACTTTAAAAAATCTAATTATCCTCACCCTTTATCCTCTTCAGCACATTTCTGTTTCACAAGTGAAGAAACACCCATGATACATTTTCTCTCCTTGTTTTAAACATACCCAGTTTTTAGTTGTTTATCACAATTAAAGTAAATGACAGCAAGCAATTATTTGAAAGCAAACCCTTTAAATACCCAGCATTAAGCATTTCAAAATAAAGGGTTGTCATTTGTAGGTTTTCCCTTCAGAATGTCAAGTCTTAGCTAATGTTTGGCCAGGGGCCAGGCCAGGATCCTGCTTGGCAGTATTGTGCCCTTACTATGTGGTCAAATAACTGTTAAAACTTCAAGTTTAAGAGGATTTTCACCAATATGTACTGGCCCATTCTAAATCTGTACAATCAGGAATGCAGCAGTACAAGAATACTGAATGAGTATGAGCAGCTTTGTCTTGGCTATGAAAAACCATAGTAAATATCAGGACTGTCCTTTAATTTCCCCATTAGTGTGAGGCTTCCCTAAGCAAATTTTGAAGTTTACCAAATTCTTATCCTCTGAAAGGAATACAAGGATTTAGAAGTCTTGTGTAGTCTTTCTGGGATGTATTGATTATCAGGTTTACCTTGTCCTCTTAGCCTCACCTCCCTTTTGGAAAGTAAAGCACTGACGTGAGTATCAGCTAATGTGATTCACTTCCTGAGGAAGGAAGTTGGGGTTATCCACTTGCCACAGCACCTGTTTCTAAGTATATATGGGAACAATTTTAACAGCTTTTCTGAACTATAAAGAGTGGTAGGCCTGTGTTGTGAAAACTTTGTAGTAATTGTCACTCTTTATCTCTTAGCTGAGGACCCAAGTCTGGCCCAGTGAGGGTGTTAGCTGTTGGGCTAACTGGATTACAGAGTGACTGTCTGGTAGAGCAAGATCACCTGGTTTGTAGGCGCTAACTATGTTTACAGTGACTGCGGCTCTCAGCTTCCTTTGGCTTGCATGCAGGAATGATTGGTAGTAATGCTTCTCGGCCCACCATGCCAGCTGGGGAATGGGCACCGCAAAGTCCAGCTGTGAGAGTCACTTGTGCTGCTACCACCAGTGCCATGAACCGGCCAATTCAAGGAGGTATGATTCGGAACCCAACGGCCAGCATCCCCATGAGGCCCAGCAGCCAGCCTGGCCAAAGGCAGATGCTTCAGTCTCAGGTCATGAATATAGGTAAGGTAGTCCAGTGCACTTCGCTTTCAGTGTTTATGTTTTCTTAGAGTGGAGTATCAGTACTTTCAAGACTTGCTTTGGGATTGCAGAATAGGTAATCCGCCTTGTGAAGCTATCACAAGGATTTTGCTATGGAGAATCATAGATTTTCACATTTTCCAACTATGTAAGAGAAGCAACTACCTTTGTGGTCTTTTATTTTCATTAAATCACCTAATTTTAACTGTGGGGAGAAGTGAATTGGGCTGTCACACGATATGTATCTAGTATAGTCATGGTTTCTAACTCTGCATGATCAACAGAATCCTCTCAGGAACTTAAAATGAGGGTGCCAGGGCCACCACCCTAGGCTGTTAATCAGACTTCCAGTTCCTCACTGAAGGTACAGGATCCCCTAGAATATCACACAAAATGTGAGGATCACTGGAATTCTATTTGGAGACAGTTTACATGTTATTAAAATTAATAGTCTGATATATCCCATAACACCATTTATATGAAATGTCCAGCCTAGACAAATGCATAGAAACAAGATAGAGTGCTGCTGCCTAAGGCTACAGATATGATGACAAGAATACGGTTGGGGAAAGAAATTCCAATTTTGGAAAAATACTCCAAAATTGATTATAATGATAGTTGAACATTTCTGAATATACTAAAACCCATTGGCTAATACACTTTAAACATACGAATTGAGTGGTATATGAATGATCTCAATAAAATTCCTACATTAAAATTAATGGTCTGTTTTACTCCTACTTGAAATTATTTTCTTAATCACTGGCATATTAATCTTCCTCTTGTACATTAGCATAGTTCATATATATCAGTGTTCAAGTCATTTTCATATACTTAGATATTGCACAGTACATAAGAGCTAAATCATTCACAGAAAAATGCCAAGATTGTTTTGACAAAAATAACAGAATTCTCATCCTAACTTTGACATTAGTTTTCTTACCTAGTTACTTAACTGCTCAATGCATTTTGGCTTATTGTTTCTGAGAGGTGACATTTACATGGAGTATACTTAAATTAATGGGTGGTTTCCAAACTTAAATTTGCATCAATTGAAGGTTACATAAAACATGCAAAAAAAACCCAGATTCCTATGTAAAATTAAACTGGAAAATTTTTTAAATGCTCATTAAAAGTCATAATAAGAAGTCCTTTATATCCAGAAAATTAATTTATTCTATCTTTATTTAAGGGCATCTGGCTTTTGAGCTTGAGATAGAGCTGTAAATGCTTTATTGTGTAACTGAATTTCTCTAATGTAGTAAACTCAAAAAAAATCATAACCTCAACAGAAAGTTGCTGTAATGGAAGGGAGGTCTACACATGATGATAATAATATAATTTAAAAACTTATACCAGCCAAGAGTAGTGGTACACTCTGGTGATCCCAGCCCTCAGGAGGCTGACACAGGAGGACCGTGAGTTCAATGCCAACCTTGGCTACATAGACCTGTCTCAGAAAAATAGAAAAAAATCCCTCATATCATCATTTATCTTTAAAGTCCCTAAAAAGAACCACTAAACTCTGAGAAGGAGCATCTCTTGAGTTGTCTGGCCCACTTCTCCTCTGTCCTTAACTCTGGTAAAAGAACAATAGTTTAGGCACAAATGGTCTAGACCAGTACCTCTTAAAAGGATGGGACTCTGCAAGGTCCAAAGTGGTTCATCATAATACATAAATACCATGTGCCTTCTTCACTTTCATCATCCCACAAGTGTCCAGTGGAGTTTTTTAAAGTTACACACTGTGTGATACCACAGCTGATGAACTGTGAAAGCAGGTAGGAGGTTCTTCTCTCTTCTGTAATCCAGACATCTAGGCAATTAACAAAAATGTAAAATAATGACAGTAAAAGGGATTTGGTTTTTTTTTTTTACATTTTTCATTTTATAATTTTGATTATATTAACATATCATTGACTTATTTTATGACTTTTTCAAATGAATTATACATTTTTCTGTTTCCCAGTTTCAATTTCCAATATAGTAAATATCAATATGATATAACACACAGGAATAAAAGTTTTTAAAGCGTATAGAAGATCCTATTACTGTTTATCTAGACATTCCCCAAAATGGATGCTATTAACTTGGTACTTACTGCCTTTATTTTATTTTAAATCAGAATTTTATCTTATTTTCACCTAGATAATTGTTAGTGTTTATATCTTTTCCATTTTCTATAAACCAGATATTTCCCATTATATTGCACAGCAAAATTACATACTTCCTTGACTTGACTACAAGATGTAAAGTTTGGATTGTTTTGTTTGTTTTTCTTTTCTCCTTCCATTTTAGCTCCATCTGAGTTAGAGATGAACATGGGGGGACCTCAGTATAGCCAACAACAAGCTCCTCCAAATCAGACTGCCCCATGGCCTGAGAGCATCCTGCCTATCGATCAGGCATCATTTGCCAGCCAGAACAGGTGAGTCCGGAGCAGTGGGAGAGCTGACAGAACAGTGCTTAAGAGTTGGCGTAAGTTGTTTCAGACCTATACTTGGAGTGAATTCCTTCTGAATAGTTGATGCCTGACCAGTTTTCATTTATTCAGACCAAATCATATACTGGGCAGGGAATGAAAGGGAGAATGCAAAAACCAACAAGATCTAGATGTGCCTTTAGGCAAGCTGTAGTTAAATTGGAAAATAAGATGCGTATGCTGAATAACTATGATAGGAAGTAGCTTGTAGTATAAATTGCCATAAGAGAAAGACCCATGTTTCAAGAGCTCATCCACTGGGGTGATGGGGGACAGTTTCAGAATCTTGAAGAGAACGTAAGATTTTAAAGGCACAGATGATAGGGCCTGTGCAGTTAGCAAAGCAGCATCTTGGAGGTCATAGAAGCAACACAGTATGTTAGAGTAACAGGAAATGGTCTCATTTTATGTTATGTATATTTTACCACAATAAAACACAAAACAGTATCAGAATGTTTGGCCAGGAGAATAGATTAGTTATAGATTTATGGAGGATGTTAAATACCAAACTCTGAAAAATTCTTATTTTCTCATTAAGCTGTTGAAAATATTTTTGGATGGGGAAGGTGGTATATGGTCAAATTTGGTTGAGTTTTGTTCTGATTTTCTAAGCAAATTTGTTTCTTTGTAGATAATCTTTTCTAACTATTTGACAGTCACTTAGGCCACACTCCCCAGCCCTTTTTTGCTTTATTTGTTTTTTCATATAGTGCCTCATGCTTTTGTCTGGACCAGCCTTGGACTGCTATCCTCCTAACTGTGCCTCCTGTGTAGGTGGGATAACAGGTGCACACCCACCCCAGCTTATCTTTTTGCCAGGGCCAGCCTCCAACTGGAGATCCTCCTGATCTATGCCACATGCCCAGCTTCTAATTGCTTTTGAAATTGTCTATGCTGCATTGTAGTTTCACTACAGAGTGTCTAGGCATGGAGTTAAGTATTTTCTATTTGGTGTGTGTTGTATTTTATTTTTCTGTGTATTGATAGAGATTTTTTTGTTGGTTGGTTAGTCAGTACTGGGATTTGAACTCAGGGCTTCATGTTTACTAGATAAGCACTCTACCACTTGAATCATGCCTCATCTTTTTTGCTTTAGGTTATTTTTTCAGACAGGATCTCACACTAACTACCAGGCTGGCTTTGAACCTCAATCTTCCTACCTCCACCTCCTAAGTAGCTGGGACCACAGGCATGTGCCACCATGCCTGGCCAGAATTCTGCATTTGGAACAAGATCCCAGCATGGCTGGTCTTCACTCACATTCTGCTCACTTTCCATCCATGACACACAGTTGGGTGTTTTCTCTGTCATTGCCACTTCTCTGCATCCTCTCTCTTCTCCCATTGCCAAAGGATAACAGGAGAGGAATGTTCTGTCATGTTTTTTGTTTTGGAGATGTGTGTGTGTGTGTGTGTGTAAGCGGGGGGTAGTACTAGAATTTGAACTCAGGGCATCATACTAGCTAGGCAGGTGCTCTGCCAGCCCATGATCCTGTTTAACGTTAGTTAATTGAGATTAATTGAGGAGTGTGAACTTTGGAAGTGAAACAGGAGGGAAAGTCTAGAAACTTCAGTGCTGGCCAAGCTGTCCTACTGAGAGCCACAGTGTGGGGCTGAGGACAGCAGGTAAGGTGCACACCAAGGGGACACTTAAATGGGTGATTTTCTCTTACAAGTAGCAAGAGCTAGGTGGAGAACATGGATAGTGTATTGATGTACTCCTCAATCACTGTTTAAGATTGTTGGTTTCATTGTTCAGTACTTCAGCATTTTACCACACTAGGTCAAAGTAGCATATTAGATTGCCTCAAAAAATACAATGTATTGAACTGGATTAAACAAACAGTTTCCCACTTGTTTAAGAATGAGTTTGCTGGGCTGGCAGAGTGGCTCAAGTGGTAGAGCACCTGCCTAGCAAACGCAAGGTCCTGAATTCAAATCCCAGCACCACCAAAAAAACCATTGAGTTTGCTTATCCGTAAAGTTTTATTTTCTCTAAACTATTACGTAGTATATAAAAAGACTTTTGATAAAAACAAATATCATTTCCATTTAGTGTTAAAGTAACTCAGAGCTCTTTTAAAAAGCTTCTTAATTTATCAATTGATTCAAATTATAAGAGCTTTGCATTTCTTTGTTCCAGTTGGCCTGGAAGTCACTGTGTAGCCCAGGGTAGCTTTGAACCTTCTGCTTCCACCTCTTGAGTGCTAGGATTAAGGTGTGCACTGCCATGCCCAGCTAGGAGGTTTTTTTTTTAACATACAATAAAAATTGGAATTTAATATTATGGTATTATCACTTACTACATTATGTAATAACATTTAAAATGTGATGTTTGTGATCAACTTGTCTTCGGTACCTAACTCAGAAAGGCTAATTGCTTGAGGGCTTTAATAAGTCCTACTTACGCATGACTAGGAAATTTCTTGGCAGCCCATGCAAGTTTAATCTAGCTGCAGCTGAGTTCAAGAAACTAGCAGAGCTTTCACACTGATGAAAGTCTCTTCGTGGACAGTAGAAAAAGACTATGAAGTCAACCAGTGCTTCTGGCTGACATTCAGAAAAGCATTGTTCCTTCAGTGTACAGACTTGCTGAAGGGTCAGTGCAGATTTGTGGGAGTGGGTGGGCAGGTGGGCCCTGGACTCAGATGGATCCCTGCCTGAATCCCAGCAATACAGCACTGCTCTTAGGATCTCCAGCAGAAGCTTGCACCTGGCTAAGCTAAAGTCTCAGCTGTGCCAGCTAAAATGGAGACAGTAGAAACAAAAACCATACCTAAGGTGCCTAGATTTCTGTCTGGCCTATAGTAGGCACTGAATAAAGCATGGTTTTAAGTGTCTTTTTTTTAGATTGCCGTTTTGTTCTCTGTTTAACTGGTGTGGGAATTTATTGCAGAAACCCTGAAAGTCAACTAGCTTTTCCATTAGCCCAAGATGAAGTTTATCTGTTTGCAGGCAGCCCTTTGGCAGCTCTCCGGATGACTTGCTGTGTCCACACCCTGCGGCCGAGTCTCCAAGTGATGAGGGAGCGCTCCTGGACCAGCTCTACCTAGCCTTGCGGAACTTTGACGGCCTCGAGGAGATTGATAGAGCCTTAGGAATACCAGAGCTGGTCAGCCAGGTAGGCACAGAGGGCAGCCAGGAGCCACTTAACTCTCAGGGGCACCAAAGAGGCTCTTTTCCTTTGTTTGCAGCTAACCTGTAGTGTGTTCTGTAGGATACCATGTACCTCCCAGCAGGTTGGCCCTGTTTTCTTTCTCTTCCTCTCCTGTTTTTCTCACATAAATTCATACCCAACAACAAAAAAAAAAGCTGGAGAATGAGCTTTATATATGCTTTGGGTTGCTAAGCACAGGGGCAGAAATTCAAGCCCAGCTCACCTCATGCCAACCCTTACTGACAGGTAGAGGCACATAGGAGCAGAGAACAGAAAATACAATGACCATTGCTCCCCGGTGACCTAAACCCTTCCTCCTGGAAGGGAAGCCAGGGTGAACATCAGTTTGAGGTATTACTGTCACTCCTGTGGACATAAGGGAATGCTTTGCCCATACGTTAATGGAAATCAGTTTTGAGCTGGCTGCAGTTTATTAATCATTTTGACCCTTATGTGGGTGCATCCCATAATAATTTTGGAATATTTAAACAAAAAGCTTGTTTTGCTTTCCTTGTTACTTTACAAAAGTAATTCTCTGTTTTGAGAGTACTTGGGAATAGTGATATAACTAACCTAACATAGTCTTACAAAATACACAGCATGTCTAAATCTGGCCATGCACTATTTGGGTGAAGTGCTTCCTGGTTTGCTGTAGGAAGAGTAACCTAGAAAAAACCCATCACATTATTCCACTGTCTTCCTCTTTACTCAGCATGAGTCATCTTTCTTTACTTTTTGCAATAAAGTATATTCCGATGTCCAATCTACATCTTAGTCCTCTGACATGTCACTAGGTCTGTGAGGAAAATTACAGAGTCATTGGAGACTTCTCTGAAGCATTAAAAACAGTCTTGTCATAATTCCCACAGTTTAGCAGACATAAGTGGGAGTTCAGACTTGTTGACTCATATTGAAAAGAGCATGATGGAAAGAAATGACTGGGGGTTACCATTTCCTGTGTGACTGGTTGGCTTTGCCTTTAGTATCAGTTAGAATTTAACATTTTAGAAAGTTATCCTTGAATTTGTCTGAGAGACATTTTAAAATGTCTTTGGAGTTGCTGAGTGACTTGTAACATAATTTCTTATCAAAATTAGTGTCATGACATCATTTAATTCTTTAGTCCTCTTTTTTCATTTATTTGTATTATTTTTACTTTGTCTCATCAGACTAACCATCATAATGCTGTCATAGTAAACTGAATTACAGAAATGTGTCATTAGGTACAACTGGGAAATGTAGCATGCAAATGTGCTTTATTTGTATTCACCAAGCTGTATATTGTCCTTAAAGGAAAATTACTTAGATTTTCTCTGTTAAAGATGGGCGTATATTTAATGTTGTGAGTTAATGCAACAGTGAATGGTCTTCCCCTGCAGAGGCTCCATCCACACACTTAAAATTATCATGGGAAGGACAGTGGGCCTGTGGCTCTCAGAGGCTGACCACACAGCAGTGCTGATTTGACTCATATTCAGGGTAGCTCCTACATGGGTGGCCTATTTTGAGGCAGGACTAGGATAGCACTAGGCTAGAGAAAGGTTGAGATTTTATTGCTGTTGGAGTCTTTCCCTTCTGAATACCATCAGGTTTGTAGCAATTCTTGTAGAAGTAGGAGAATAAAAGGCTGGAGGTGTGGCTCAAGTGGTAGAGCACCTGCCTCGCAAGCAGAAAGCCCTGAGTTCAAAATGCCAGTACCGCAAAAAAAAAGAATTAGACAGGTACACTTTTCCCTCTACCCTTAGGCACCTGGGTCTGAGGTGTTCCCCCTGGGGAAGTTGTAGATTTATCTATACTGCCCCTTTCTAGACCAGATAGATAATAGTCAAGAATGTTCTGGAGGCATGGTTCCAGCATTAGATCACCTGCCTGTCAAACATAAAACCCTGAGTTCAAACTGCAGTACCACCCAAAAAAAGAAGTAACAAATACATTAAATAAGAATTGTAGGTAGTAAGCAAATGGTGGCAAAATATGGGCCCGTAAGAAATTCTGGCAGACTTAGAGAATTAAGTAAATAATAGGCAGTTTGTCAAAGAGGCTTCTTGAAGCTCACTTCATATCTCCCAAGTCTATTTTGTTATCTGCAAAACAAGGATAAGATCAGTACGCCAACACTAATGATTCCAAGCTAGGTACCAAGGCAGACAGAGATGTCTAATTCAAATGATTTATGCAGGTATGAATGATCCATCAGAAAACTTAACATAGCGAGGTGTGGTAGTTCACAGCTTTAATTCTAGCACTCTGGAGCTACGGCAGGAGGATCATGAGTTTGAAGCCAGCCTGAGCTATAGATAAATCCTGTCTAGGAAACTAAAAAAAAAACAAAAAAACAACTTTACCATTAGGGGTATTCTTGGGGCTATTTGAATCTCATGTCCATACTAGGCTCTTTGATTCATGGGTGAGTAGGTGGCATTCTGTAGTCATGACCCATTTCTTCCCTCCCCTTGGGGAAGTGCTGCTTAACCCCTGTTTCTTTCCTTGTATAAATGGACCTTTCAAATAAAGAAGCATAACTTAGAGAAAAAGTGAAATCAAGCTAAAGGTAACTTTGTGTAATAAATACAGTATAGAAAGCCTCAGCTATGTGAAGGAAAATAGCCTTATATTTGCTGAGCTGTTTTTGGTGGCTTAATTGATATCTGCTATTTGGGTCTTTCTCTTCAGAGCCAAGCAGTAGATCCCGAGCAGTTCTCAAGTCAGGATTCTAACATCATGCTGGAGCAGAAAGCCCCTGTTTTTCCACAGCAGTATGCATCTCAGGCACAAATGGCCCAAGGTAGCTACACTCCCATGCAAGACCCAAACTTTCACACCATGGGACAGCGGCCTACTTATGCCACACTCCGTATGCAACCCAGACCAGGACTCAGGCCCACAGGCCTAGTGCAGAGCCAGCCAAATCAACTGAGACTTCAGCTTCAGCATCGCCTCCAAGCACAGCAGGTAAGTTCTTCATTGGGGCCTGCAAAGCTAGACGGGGTGGGTGGGGCACAGGAAGATTAATATGACGTGACACTGCAATCTAACAGCATGCAGGAACTGGGTTGGGGGCGCGAATTATTTGGGAAAGGTGAATTGAAGTAAAATATTTTCTGTTTAAAAAACGTATTGTTTCCTGTGTATGTGTGTGTGTGTGTTTAGAATCGCCAGCCACTTATGAATCAGATCAGCAATGTTTCAAATGTGAACTTGACTCTGAGGCCTGGAGTACCAACACAGGTAAGGTAGCAGGCCAGCCATCTGCTTTCATTGTCCAGTTAACTTCTCTTGTCATTTCTTCCTCACTGATAAAACCTGAGTAAGGTAACTTAGTAGGCCATGTGATCCAAATCAGCACTCTGGTTCTGCACTGTCCCAGTTACCTGTCTAGTCTGTCACTGTTTTAGTTCCTTCTAAACACTGTGGTCTGCCAGGTGTTGTTATTCACAGAAGTCATGTTATGTAATGTTGCTGCTGGCACTGAATTAGTACTAATCTATTGCTCCCAGGAGAAACACAGGCTTAGGATCCTACAAGACTCTGGCTACAACATTGTCCTCAATCAGTTAATACATAACTTTGTTTCTGTTCAAAGACATTTCATATATACATATAATTGACTCATTAATATTGAACTCATGGCTGATTGACTATTACTCAGGCCTGAGCAAAGCTTATCTAAGCTTATATTTTTTCAATAAGCACATCATAGCCTCTTACACTTTAGAACACTAGACAGCACTCCATTACACTTGAGGACCATTTAAATAGTAAAATCACCAAAAAAAAAAAAAGTTCTGTATGAAAAACCATGGAACCAATTAGGCCACAAAAGGACTCTTGTTTATAGGATGAGAGCTGAAAGAAGCTGACCCTTAGCTGGAAATGTGTGCATTGGGCATCTGAAATTTTTTCCCACTCTTCTTGTGTCCATGAATGACCATAACAGTGCCATGAGTACTGATTGAGGGGCTATATGTAAATTTTAGTGAGTACACAACTTTATATATGTGCAAGTCACAAATGACAAGGATCAACTGTGTCTCCTTAGGACATATAAACAACCTCATATCTTACTGACAGCAAGCCTGGTTTCTCTTCCCTTCATCCATGCCCCTTTCCCTTCTTCCTCTCCTTCCTCCTACTCTGTCCTGGCCCCTTTCTATGTCCCTCTCTCCTCTCTGTGCCCCTTTCTTCCTACTTCTGTTCAGTCTTTTCTGAAGTGCTCTATGTCACTTTTTGGCACAGTGATTTGACAGTTTCTTTAGATTTGAATGTCCCTTGAAAGAGACTCTAAAACTGCTATCCTCAGGGTTTATATCAAGAGTCCTCTAGACCTAATGGTGCACACCTCAGCACTCAAGAGGCGGAAACAGAGGGTTACAAGTTTGAGGTTGGCCTGGGCAACATATCAAGACCCTGTCTCCAAAAACAAAACAAAGCAAAAAGAGTCAAAGGACTGTGTTCTTTTGAAGTCCTTTATTTAACTGTGTCTTCCTTAAATGCTGTAATTGCTAGTACAGTTTTCCAGAATCATCATATCTATAGAAATTAGAAGATCCCATGCTTAATCAGCAATAGATCCTTCCATGTAATTTTATTTTCCAAATAACTTTACACAAGACCTTTGCTTATCATTTCTAATCTTCTGTCTTCCCCTATGCTTTCCTCTGTGTATTGCCCTTGACTTCAGGCACCGATTAATGCACAGATGCTGGCCCAGAGACAGAGGGAAATCCTGAACCAGCATCTTCGACAGAGACAAATGCATCAGCAACAGCAAGTTCAGCAACGAACTTTGATGATGAGAGGACAAGGGTTGAATATGACACCAAGCATGGTGGCTCCTAGTGGTATACCAGCAACCATGAGCAATGCCCGGATTCCCCAGGCAAATACCCAGCAGTTTCCATTTCCTCCAAACTACGGTACTGGATTCACATCCCCACCACCACCTTTCACCAGTCCTTTCTCCCCAGTGTCCCCCAGTCCTGGGTCACAGCTCCTCACTCACAGCTCTTTGCATGGCTCCCAGATGACTCTGACTAACCAGGGAATGATAGGAAACCTGGGAGGACAGTTGGGGCCTGTCAGGAGTCCCCAAGTCCAGCACAATACCTTCCAGGCTCTCAGTTCAGGTACCTCCTTTTCTCTGAGTGCAGGTCTTACTTTAAGAATGACCGAAGTAAGTGTGTATGTGTAGAGTGTATGTGTCTTTCCATTGGGTGTGTGAGTACGTATGAGTGTATCTGTTCTTGTCAGTGTCTGTGAACACAGTGCATATATATTTCTATATATATTTGAATGCCTTTGAGTCTGACTCTTAACAAATCAATGGATAAGATAACAAAATATTGAGAGACATAAATAAATTTAAATGTTAGATGCATTCTACAGCTTTTGAAAAATAAAGACTTTAAGGATTATACCAAATCTTCAACGAATAGATAATTCTTGAGAAGTATTCAGTTTATTTATGGTTTCTTCATATTGATTTGTTCTTTAATGTCAGTCTTAAGAGATAAGGTACCAAGCATGTAATATCATGAACATTAATATTTGTGTGCATGTCATGTTCGATTAATAGTTGAATTATTGATAAATGTAAGTGCTTACACTAACATTAATATTCAAAATGACTTTCCCTTATCCTTGTTGGAGTTATCTGTAAATAACCATGAAGTTTTTGTGTTGCCTAAAATTCAAGTGTCCTAACCTTTAAAGGAAGAAAGATAATGTGTAGCTTTTTTCCTGTACGGTTTTAAACCTTTCTTTTGTAGCTAGTTTAAATATTAACTAAATATGCATGTTTTACAAGTCTTAAGCAAAAACGTACTTAATGCCATCCCTGAAATTCTCTTAAGATGTTACCTTCTTTCTTTACCATTTCCTTCACTGTGTTTCCTTTTTTGATGATTTAGAAAAGTGCTAAAAGTTCTTTCTTTCTGTTTAATGTAAATTCCATTTGCTTTGAAACTGAGTAAGAAACATATGTTGAGGTTTTTGGTATTTGCTAATCTTGGATAGCACTAAAGTACCACAAAGTCTTTTTTAAAGATTAAAAAAAGCCAAACATGAATATAATTACTTATTTTTTAAATATATCCATCTTATCATGGAATGACTTAAGTTTTAATTTAATGAAAAATTATCCATGTATTGGTATATATTGAAGTTTAATCCAATTTAAACGTAAACAATACAATTATAGTGATACTTAAAATTTTTAAGACTGGGGTTGGAACTCAGGGCCTCATACTTGCTAAATAATGGTTAATATGGTTCCTAGGAACCCCCTAACTATTATAGAGAATCAAAGTACAGAGATTTTTTTTCTTTATGCATTTTTATTTCAGCTCAAAATCTTTTTTAAATGTCTGTAATTAATCAACACATGATCACGTATATGAAAGTAAGTTTCTATGTGTACTTAATTTGGAATGTTTTCTTTTTTCCCCTCCAAGTCTCTATACTGAAATTAACAAGGTCTGGATTTCCATTTTGTTTTGTTTTTTTTTTTAAGGAATAAGTCAGCAACCTGATCCCGGCTTTACTGGGGCTACAACTCCCCAGAGTCCTCTCATGTCACCCCGAATGGCACATACCCAGAGCCCTATGATGCAGCAGTCTCAGCCCAACCCTGCCTATCAGGCCCCCTCAGACATGAATGGATGGGCACAAGGGAACATGGGTGGAAACAGGTAACACCATGTTTCTGAGTCATTCTAATATAAATGAGCACCAAAGAAATTCTCTGTAGACTACCTGTCTCTTTATCTGTATTTAAAAATACGTATATTTGCTCAAGCAAGGTCAAATCAAGTGAACAGATATTAAGCCAGTTTACTATTCCTAGGGCAGAAGTACCAGAAATTTGCAAAAGCTTAGCAAAATGCCTCTCCATTTGGAATTTTCTTAAAATGTGGGAGATAGAAGTACCATCACACCAGTTTACCATCGAACTGCTTGGAAGGTAGTGGCACAGAGCCATCCCTTGTCAAAACAATAAGAACAAGCAGAAAGCCCCTCTGATGCGGCTGGGACAGTGGGGATATCTGTGGCCCGTCACGGTGATATATGGGTAAGAGAGAGCTTGGCCACCCCTGCAGCTTTCTGGAGCACTGTGGCTACTTCTGTAAGCCTCATACCCCACCACCTGCTGGGGGCCCGCCCTGGTTTCATGCAGGTTAGATTTAGTCTATAAGGTAAATGCCTAGGAAGGAAGTATTCAAAACTGCCTCCTCTGTTTGCCATCAGACTCTAACATTTTATTTCATCTTTCCATTTGTGTTCTAGCATGTTTTCACAACAATCCCCACCACACTTTGGACAACAAGCGAACACCAGCATGTACAATAACAATATGAATATCAATGTATCCATGGCAACCAACACGGGTGGTATGAGTAACATGAACCAGATGACAGGACAGATCAGCATGACCTCAGTGACCTCCGTGCCTACATCAGGGCTGTCCTCCATGGGTCCCGAGCAGGTGGGCACTGGGGTATCTTCTGACCATAGCTTTTTGTCTATTCCCCCCAGCCCCTGCTTGCTGGGCAGGTGCTCTACCACTTGAGCCCACACACCTGCTTTTTTTGTTTTAGGGATTTTTCTGGTAGGGTCTCAAGTTTTTCCCTGGGGGCCAGCCTCATCTCAGCCTGCAGTTTTCCTCCGTATTCCTCCCAAATAGCTGAGATTACACATGTACACCTGCACACCTGTTTGTTTTTTAATCTATTTCTGCCTTAACTGAACTTTCCCAAGTTCCTAGCATCTGCTCTCAACTTCCGCTTCTGTTTTGAAGTGTTTTTTACCTTATTTTCACCTGTGTGAAAATATTTGTTGTGCCAGGCACTGGTGGCTCACTCCTGTCATCATAGCTACTCAGGAAGCCGAGATCAGTAGGATCTCCATTCGAAGCCAGCTGGGGTATAATAGTTCACAAGACCCTATCTGGAAAAAAATCTTCACAAAAAAGGGCTGGTGGAGCTGCTCAAGGTGTAGGCCCTGAGTTCAAACCCCAGGACCAGGCAAAAAAAAAAAAAAAAGGATAAGGATTCCTGACTGCAAAAGAAATTTTGTAAACATTTCTTAACTTTCAAATCCTTCACATTTTTCTTTTATTTGAGGAATTTAGCAGTATCTAAACAAATCTCTAAAAATGGAGTGGTGAGTTATGTTTTCTACATGGTTTTATTTGGGGTTTGTGGTTTGAGAAATGACTTTTCCTTAAATGTAAAACCTGATAGAAAGCAAGAGCCAAACTACCTGCCCCTTGGTTAACGTGAAATGATATTCTTCACTTATGTAGGGAGACTAGCACAGACAATCCAAAAACTATTCCTTTTGCAGCTGAGGATGGACCTAAGGGGTAAAATGCTTGCCTACCGTATACAAGGCAGCGGGTTCAGTCTCCAGCACCGAAAAACAAAACAAAACTATTCCTTTTAATCACTGGAATGTTGGTACCATGTTTTTTTAAAAATAATTTTAGTTTGTGTTGAATAACACTGAAGTTACTCTACTCTCCCTAAGTACACACCAGCTTCACTAGGTAGCAGAGAGACTTAAAGCATTTGAGATAGTTAAGTAGCCAGCCTAGAATTCAAAGATCTGACTGGTCCAGACATAGAGGTTAATAATTTTAGCGTGTTACTTACAGAGCAACTTATTTTAAAGGGCCAAAATGATGATCTTTATACTACTAGTCTTGAGTACTTAGTTTGAAGTAAAAATGTGGCTAGGACTCAGATATGGAAAAATGGAGACATAGAAAAATTTAAATGATGTAAGCAAATGAGTTGTTGTGGCCCCATGAATTTTAATTAGAGCATGACTTTGAGAATGGAGAAAGACAAGTTTGAATAGTCTATTTAATTCTATAAGTGAACCACAATTTTTGTGAAAATTTACTAAATGTTACAATGCTTCATTGTTTTTATTCTGTATAATGATGGTTAATAAATATGTAAGGTGGTACATGAGAAAATTTAAAACCCTCTACTATAAGGCTGTGTGCTTATAATAACTTGTATGTCTGTTTTTGAGTTGATAGCATTTAGGTAAGTCAAACAGACATAAATTTAAAACATAAACTTTTCTTTTCAATTAAGAAATTGTAGGGCAGATACTGAATTTCCTACAGAAATAAGCCACTGGTGATTCCTGATTTGCTTTCTTAGGAATGTGTACAAAGTAGGGCCCACTGGGTACTCTTCAGTGAAGCATAGTCGTAGTCTGTCTACTCAGAGAAAAATCAACTTATTCTAATAATCGTCATAATTTGAAGCTTTTGCATGGACTTAAACCTTCTGAATATCAGAGTTAATTTGGAAGCTGAAAAAACCACAACTGTGGTGTGTCTTCAGACAAAATCATTCTCTATTAGCATTTGTATACTTACTTTGTAATTTGTAGAAGAAATATACAAATACTAATGAGTAATTTGCTTGGTCACAGTTCACAAAATCTAGCACTGTTTTCGTACTTGCTTTTGCTAATTAACAATTTGCCTAAATAGCAAAGATATCAGGAGCATCTCAGGTGACTTCACAGTCCCAAATGTGAGCCATTGATCTAATTTTAACCAGCCAAAAAAAATGAACTGGTTATGGTATGGAAACGCCTCTACCATTGTCATCTCTGTTGAATTTGATTTCTATATTGAATTCAAATAACATTTAATTTTGAAAGCAACTATTGTTAAGTATTTATTTTCATGTCTTTGTATATTGTCTCCAAAATATATACATGGGAGAACAGGTATAGAGAATGAAGCCGTTTTTATGTAGTTTCTTTTCCCCAGTAGTATACTTCTGAAAAACAAAGAGGAGGGAGGTTGATGGTCAGGTTTGGTTTGGGTTTTGGTTTTTCCAGTACACTTTTGGCTATCCCACTGTCATGTCTTACTGCCCTCAGGTTAATGATCCTGCTCTGAGAGGAGGCAACCTTTTCCCAAACCAGCTGCCTGGAATGGATATGATTAAGCAGGAGGGAGATGCATCACGGGTAGGAAACTGCAAAGGAGTATGTGAATATGTGAATATGGCAGTGAAGGGAACAGGAATGTTTTATAGACCAAAATCAACATAGATTTATTATCAACCAGCAGATTAAAGATAGTTGTAAAATACTTGTTATTTGGCATACAATGCTTTTTTGTGTGAATGATTATTTCTTTAAGCTCATTTTAATTGAGCTGATGGTGGTATATGACTTGAAAACCTTAATTTTGCACTGTAACAATATTATAGCAAAATAAAATAGCAAGAATTAATCATATTAGGGAAAATTTTTATTTACTCTTGCTTTTTCTGAATAATATCAGATTTTTAGGAGGATGAAGATAAACTAACTTTTGTTTGTTCTCCATAATCAAGTCTTAAGTGTTTTTATTTCATTGTGTTTAGGCAATAATCTTATGCATTGCTTATATTATTTCCTTATTATTATTTTAAACACTTGCTCTAAGAGAAGTGATATTACCATGTCAGACCAGATCTTGAACTCATAGGTTAATGAATACTTCGCACCCACCTGACGTGTGCTGGCAGAGATTCATTACAGGGAAGGCTCTTTGAGCAGCTTGGCATACAGACAAATGGGTCTGCACAGCCTACATTAGGGATGGGTTATAACTCTCAGCAGTAGATTATTCTCTTTTAGCCCATTTGAGAAGATGTTGGGTTGTTCTTAAATTTCCTCAAAAATGTAGATCTTGATGGTTTGGGGTTTTTATTTTTTGGTTTTGTTTTGTTTTGTTTGTTTGTTTTTTACTTTGTTTGTTTTGGTGAAACTGGGTTTACTCAGGGCTTTGCACTTACAAAGCAGGTGCTCTACCACTTGAGCCACACCTCCTGTCCATTTTGCTCTGGTTATTCTGGAGATGGGCTCTCACAAACTGTTTGCCCAGGCTAGCCTCTGTCCTCAAATCTCAGTCTCCTAAGTAGCTAGGATTACAGATGTGAGCCACCAGTGCCTGGCTGAAAAAAAAGGTGGGGTTTTATTGTTTGTTTGTTTTCTGTTTTGCTTTTTGGTGATATTAGAGTTTGAACTCAAGGCTTAGGCAAGGGCTGTACCACTTGAGCCACACATCCAGTGTTGGATGGTTTGTTATACTATTAACATTCATATTTAGAAAGAAATACTGTAAATTTGATTCACACTTTAATGTGTTAATTTTGCCATGTCGCTTCTCTTGTTTAAACTTTTTATTAGCATATATTAATTGTACAAAACAATAAGTTTCATGATGAAATTTTCATACACGTATATAATATACTCTAACCATATTAGCCCCTTACTCCCCTATATTGTCCACACTCTCCCCTCTCACTAGTCTCCTTACTCTTCCCAAACAGTTCCTTTTCTACTTTCATATCTTATATTAAAAATCTAGATTATAAATATGAGAAAACGTGATACTTGACTGAGTCTGTCTTATTTCACCTAACATGATGATCTCCAGTTCCATGGCATTTTCCTACAAATAACATAATTTCATTCTTCTGCATGACTCAATACAACACCACTGTGTGTGTATCTAGATGACAAACGTTTTCTTTATCCATTAATCTGTTTATGGGCACTTAGGCTGATTCTGTAACTTAGCTATTGTGATTCGCACTGCAATAAGCATGTATGTGCAGGCATCTCTACTGTAGGCTGATTTAGTTTCCTTGGAGTTACCTAGGAGTGCTATAGCTGGATCATCTGGTAGTTCTATTTTTAGCTTTTTAAAAGTACCTCCATACTGATCTTCATAGTGGTAAGACTAATTTATATTCCCACTAATAGTATATAAAGGTTCCTTATACACCTCCCCTTGCTCCACATCCTGGCCAGCATTTCTTGTTTGTTATCTTGATGATAACCATTTTGACTGAGATGAGATGGAATCTCAGGGTAGTTTTGATTTGCAGTTACATGATTGGTAAGGATGCTGAACACTTTTTCCATGTATTGGCCATTTGTACTTCTTCTTTTGAGAACTGTCCAGTTTACTTACTCATTTCTCCATTGGCTAGATTATTTGGCTTTTGGTGTTTAATTTTTTTAGTTCATTATATATTCAGAATATTGACCCCTGTCAGATGATCAGCTGGCAACTGATATGGAAAGATTCTTTCTGGCTATGTCCACTTGGGGTTCTAAATGCTTCCTATACATGGTTATCCATTTGTTTCCTTAGATTTGGAGAATTTTCTTCTGTAATTTTATTGTTTTCTGTGCCTTTAGTGTATTATCTCATTTTGCTCTTCTATACCACACATTTCATAGGTTTGGTCTCCTTAATTCTGTCCCAGAAGTCTTGGATGTTATGCTCATAATTGCCTTTTTATTCTTTATTGTTATCTGAATGTAATAATTCAATTTTTGATTCAGTTATTAGAGAGTTTTGAACTTCTGGAGGAGTCTTGTTGCCTTGCCTTTCAATATTTTTTGTGTTTCTAAGTTGTGATTTATGTATTTATTGAGATATCTCTTCTGGTTTTATTTGGGAGTCTTCTTAGTCTTCTTTTGAGGGCTCAATCCCCAGTACCTCTCAGAAGAGAACAACAACTTTGCTGTAACAACACCAAAACAAATATAGAAATATACAACCAGTTTAAAATGAATTCAAGCCAAATACTGCACTGTCAAAAGAAAATGGCAAAAATAATGTAAAATAAACTATGAAGTTAAAAATTAATGTAAAATTAATAATAATGAAATAAAGGAAGGGCCAGTGAAAAGGAAGCAAAGAAGAGAAAAGGAGAAGAATGTGAAGAAGACAAGAAAACAAGAGGTTTTTTTTAAATCTCATAAAATTAAAAGTACATAAGTAAAATTTAAGGTAAGAAGAGAAAAAGTTTTTTTAGTAAAATCAATACTAACAATATAGTAAAAAAAGAAAAAGTTTTTTAAAGTGACAGAATTAGAGAAGTTTTTTTCTGGATTCTCTAATACTGGAATCTGCCAGGTTGAGGGGTAGGGGTAACTCAAAACTTAAGTCTCTTATAGTTCCTACTGTACAAGATGTTACTGTGTGTGGGCTGGGTGGGCGTAGTCAAGGGTTAGCTTTAGGGTTATATTCATTTTAGAACCTTCCCCTCTTTGCATTCCAGAAGCTGCTATTGGCTCCAATGAGCTTTGTAGGCTGTGGGTCAGGCAGGTTCCCACTTACTGAAGCTCCTAAGGCCAACCAGGCTACCAGTCATTGACTCAGAGCACTCAGCCTCCACAGTAGTCCACAGGTGATAAGTCTTACTCTTCATCATAGAGGACAAAGCCACTGACCATCCCACCTTCCATAGCCCAAGCTCCCTGCTTCTTAAACTTCTTGGTGGGTGTAGTCCAACCTTGCCCCACCCACCCCACTCCAGACTGCTTCTCTTGGCCATAGTTCCTCAGGCTCCATGACTTAAGGTTATTCCTTGTTTATTGTTTCTTGTTTTCAGGACTCTTGAGTAGCTTAGTCTCAAATAATAGGCTGCACTCTCAAGATGGCACCTGGCTATACCACTCTAAGATATCAGGAGTGACCAAAAGTTTTTCTTCTGCAGTGCTAGTCTGCCTTGCAGGAAGAGTCACTGTCATACCAAATCATCCCACTGGATTTAGGACTTTGGAGAACTGTGGGCTTATCCTATGGCTAGAACTTCCAGTCTGTTGTCATCAGGGCTGCCTGGCTTACCTTGTGCTTGCTGCTTCAGCTTCCCCTCCCTAACCCAGCACTCGGATTGGAGCAGCACACTATTTCCTACTTTTTTTCTGAATAACCAACCTACCTTCCTTCCCTCCTCTCCCTTCCCCTTCCCTCCCCTCCCTCCCTTCTTTCCTTTTTGCTTTGTTTTTCACATAGGGTCTTATTCTTTTGGCAGAACACTTGATGGTTCCATATTCTTTCTTTAAAAATTATAGGATTGGGGGCTGGAGGCATGACTTAAGTGGAAGGGTGCCTGCTACTAAATGCAAGGCCCTGAGTTCAAACTCCAGAGACTCTGAAAAAAATTACAGGAATGGGTTGAGTGTGGTGGTCCATACCTATAATCCCTGCTACTCGGGAGGTGAAGATTGAGAATATAGCAATTCAGGGCCAGATCAGGCAAAAAGTTAGCGAGACCCCATTTCATCACACAAGCCCAGGTTGGTGGTGCACATCTGTGATCACAGCTACATAGGAGGCATAGGCAGGAGGATCGCAGTCTGGGGCTAATCCCAGGCAAAAAGCAAGATCCTATCTGAAAAATAACCTAAAGCAAAATGAGAGTGGTGGGAGACAGACATGGCTCAAATGGCTGACATAGTAGGTTGACTGCCTAGGGCACCAAGTTCAGACCTCTGTACCATCAAAAAAAAAAATTACAAGAGCAATGAACAACCAACACATATTGAGCATTTAGATTACCTCATTTAAACCACACCACACTCTGGGGTAGAACTACTTTGAGAGTATAATGACTTATCAAGGTCTCTCAACACCAGGAAGTGAACCCAAGCAGGCTGACCCCTGAAGGTACATTCTTAACCCCTGCATCTCACTGACTACTTCCCCAAAGGGAACCCCTAGTTCTTGTGAGATTTTTCCAAGGACTTTATGCAGGCAGCATTGGAGAAGGCCAAAAGGAATAAATTATTTCCTCTGGTGCCTTTCCCTTCTCTTTTACTTAGATCCTAAAGCAAGAGAGAGAGTCACAAATACTGTGGAACAGACGTATAAAGGCTTGGCTATATATTTTAAAAAGTCCTCAGCCCTGAGGGAGAGGGGCCTCCAGAGCAAGGAAGGGGAATGTGCCTCTTTGGCCTCCAACATACCAGAGACTGGGCCAGGCACTGCACAGATATTTCAGGGTCCTCAGCATTTTCAGCTGAGGAGACTGTATCTCAGAACATCAGATAGCTAGGAGATGGTGGAACTTAGAATGAAGACTGGTGGCCAAGACCAATCCAACTTGGAAGAAAGCAGCCAGTAAGGAGGGCTGGAGCCACTTCCAGGTGCCTCATGGGTACCCACGAAGCCCCACATGGGTAAGAAGATAGGATGCTATTCTCTCTGTGGTCATCTAACCCAGCCCACTTCTGCCCCTCCCTGTTCCTCTGGTTTTACAGTGCCCTTCTTAAGCTTGGCTCATCCATCTGCACTTTGTTAAGGACAAAGACTAGTCTGCCATCAGTCTTGTTTCTTTCGGAGAACATGTGCCATCAATCCCCTCTCATCTGTGAGAACTGAGTAGAAGTTTCTTTGCATTTGCTACCATACTGCACGCATGTGCCTGGATAGGGACTCAGTCATCATTCTCCATGTTTCTGTGATATGCTGTGCTGCTGTTATGAATCGAAGAACTTTTTCCAGAGTTTTAAATGGCAATCTAGTTATATTTGTTGATACACTGATACACTGTGATCCACTGATCCGTTATTAATTGGCTCTCTGTTCCATTTGTCTCGAAATGGAGATTATGATTGTACCTTCCTTTAAGCAAAGCTAGTATATGCAACTGTAACTTTATCAAAAAACCAGAGAAAGACAGTTATTTTACTTAACCAAAGGATTCTTCCTTTTATAAGGATTTGCCATAGTATTCCTTTATATTTTACTTATATTTAAACAGACTGCATTTACTGCTCAGCAGCATGGCTCTTATATAAAGGTGGTATAATTGTAATCATTTATTAATAGTGTTATAAAAATCGATCACTAATAAGGAACTTCTTTTTGTTGCTGGGTGGCGACGGTGATGGTAAAGATACATCCCAGGACCTATTTAAACCTCTGTACGTGCATTATTTTGTTTAATCCTCACAACAACCCTGAAAAGGTTAAATGACTCCCTACTGCTAACGTGGTGTGGCCGGGATCCCCCACTCACTCAAGTGTGACTCCAGAAAGTGGTACCCGCCCTTTCTTCACAAACTGATTCTGGCTACTAACTGTTCATTGATGTTAATCCATGAGAAAGAATACTGCCTTGATGTTTTTAAGCCTCATAAATGTAATAGGATACAAATACTTCTCCATAGAATTTTTTCTGGAGTAACTGGAAAATTGGGAGGGGGTGTAAATATTTTAATTAGCACCATGGAGTATTTTCACATGTAGTCATGTAAGTGGCACAGGCTATGAGTAAGTACGTACTCAGCTTTATGCTATAAAGTGTATTAAGTGTTCTTGTGTGAGAAGTACAATCACAGGTGGTATTCTCAGCATGTTTTTACCATAGAGAGCTATACACCTGGCCATAGGCTGATGTCATTCCAGATTTGATCACTACGTATAACTCATCATCTGGCAATACATTCTTCAGAACTCTTTTGAGGAGTGCTAAAGTGACATAGATTATTTGTGTCTGGCTTCCTCTCCAGTCTTCTTAAACTAGATAATTTCTAGTGGCCTATGACATGCTAGAATTAAAAACATCTGAATCCCAGAAGTACTTTTTACATGATCCTATGGCACACACTAGTTCTGCTCAAGGAACCCAGGCTGCAGTTACTTAATGTCTGCCTTGCCTGCTCAGAGGTTTCTATGAGAGCAAACCAAAAGATGGGGAATGACTTTGGTTAACCCTAGCACACTTGGCACACAGTAGAGATGCTCAATTAATATTTGCCAAATGAATGAAAGGGCAATAGCTAGAGAAAATCATTAGCGATAAGCTCACACCAACCAAGGAAATACCTCCACAGAGTTGTCACTCACTACAGCCTTGGTATCCAGTCATCCAGACTATCAGCACATAGCAGCCCAAAACTGCAAGAATGCCCTTTCGTCCAAAGCCTGGACATAATTTATTTTGGAGATGCCAGGGAGAATACACCCTACATAGGTCCTTAGAAGTGTCTCATAAGGAGAATCAAGAGAGACTTTTTTTTTTAGACATGGCCTTGCTGTATAGCACAGGCTATACAAACTCAAAATCCTCCCGTATGCTGGGATTAAAAACATGTACCACAATACCCAGCTTAAGAGGGACATTTTATAGGAAATGAATTTGTACTGTATAAATTTGACAAAAAACTGGGAAGTGGTAGTTACTTCCGGTTTGGACGCTGCCAGAACGCAAGGGCAGTTCAGCAACTAGATCTTCATAATCTGTGTGGGAGAAATGAAATTGGGTGATGTCCTTGGTAAGAGAGCAGGGGTCCTTTAGGACAGACTGATAAATCGTTTGCAAACTCTAATCGGGGTTTATTCAGGAGCAGCACCACCCACTGCCCCACCATGTGTTCATCCAAGTGCAGCCTTGGTGACTGCATCATTTAGAACTAGAACAGTCTCAAGTATTTTGAGGTTTTTGTGATGGGTTTGAGATGGTTTTATCAAAAACTCACATTTCACAACTTCCTGTGTCTGTCTGTTTTCCTGCAGAAATACTGCTGACCCAGAAGGTAGCTGGTTGCTTTTTTCTTCAGTTGACCAGGCTCAATTGCTCAAAACACTTACCAGTCTGGAGAGCTGTGTCTCTTTGTTTTGACCCATCTGACGTAAGGCCAGTTCTCCCAGAACGCCATCAGCAGACAACTGGGCCCTAGCCCCAGCGTGGAACATACTTGGCCGCCACCAGGGGAGTGGGAGCCTCTCTTCTCCTGACAGTCAGAAGCTGCGTGCAGACCGTTGCTGTCTGTTCACCGCATTCACCTTAGTGCAACTTAGATCTCTCCTGCAAAGTAAATGTTGACAGACAAACTTCATACCCATGTCAGATTGAATGTATTTAAATGTATGTATTTAAGGACAACCATGCTCTTGTTCTGTCCCTGTTCAGTTCCAGACACTGGTTTCTTGCTTTGTTTTCCCTGGCTAATTAAATTAGTCTAGTACAAAAGATTAAGATTTCATATGGGGGAAGGAAAAGAATTTTTAAAAATAAAATGAAAGATGTTTTAAGCTAAAGCCTGCATATGAGATGGAAGCAGAGCAGACTGTGAACAGCTCTGTAGGTACAAACACGCCCCATAGTTGTATCTTTGCAGAAAGCTCTAAAGACCATGTCAGAAGAGTTACTGGCAGATGACTTGCTGCACAGATGAAGAGGAGCCTGTAAGAGGGCTGTTAATATTAACAAGTATCTGTTCCACTTTTTCTCTTGGTTAAAACCAAACTAGTTCACATAAATTGCGACTCAAGAAGAAATATTTTTCATTTCTAAATAAGTTCCCTTTAGATTGATCAGACAGCTTTGTATTAGCATCTCCCCCTTCCCTTCTGATCCTGACTCTTCCTTCCACTCTGCCTTCCCCTGTTCTGCTTCTTTCATTCAGTTTTTCAAACTAATATAAACTACAGAAACCAGGTAAGCCCTTTACTTCTGCAAATGTTTTGCCAGCCACTTCCAGTTGTTAACGATTGAATTTCAGAAAAATGCATTTACTGGCAAGGAGAGGAGCAAAGTTAAGACTTAATACCAATCAGGATAAGGACACCTGCTCTGGAAACATGTTTATTCTGTTCCCCAGCAACTCTGGCCTCCAAAATGGGAGAAAATACTAGTGTATTGAAATTGACAGCAGATATCACAACAGATTTAACCTCTGCCATGTGTTTTTTATTTTGTTTTTTAGCAGTGCTGACTAAGCCGAATTTTTGTAAGGTACATAAAATCCAATTTATATGTAAACAAGCAATAATTTAAGTTCTGAACGTGTTTTAATTGTATAATTTTTGTGAGGTATACATATTGTGGAATTGACTCAAAAATGAGGTACGTCAGTATTAAATTAGATATCTTCATAGCAATGTCTCCTAAAGGTGTTTTGTAAAGGATACCAATGCCTTGATGAGACCTAATTTGTAGACTTAAGACTTTTTATTTTCTAAACCTTGTGATTCTGCTCATAAATCATTTAACCTATATGATATGCAGCCGCTGTAGGAACAAATTCTTGATTTTTATATGTTTATATTCTTTCTTAATGAACCTTAGAAAGACTACATGTTACTAAGCAGGCCACTTTTATGGTTGTTTTTCTTGCCCACTCTGGTAGGGGAGTAATCTTTTATTAATTGGTGTCAGTTTCAGATAACTGCAATACCAAGAAACTGACGACCTTTTTGAGCTATTTCTCCTCAAACCCTAATACACATACTTTCTTAAACCTAAATTTCAGGATATCTTTTTGATGTCTAAAAAGCAAAGCATTTTATATTATCTCATTAGCCAGGCTTTTTAGGAACAGAGAAGCTTTTTTCATTGAAATTTGTTTTATTTGTGGCAGGGTGAAAAATGTACAAACTACCCCTATTTATATTTATATCTCTCTATATATCTACAGATTATAGAAATATAGGCAGAGATAAATAGCCCAAAGATAAATGGTAAGTAGACAGTCTGAAAGTGTTGCTCCATACTAAAGAAACTTTCTGGAAATTTGCATTTTGATACTTTTTTTTGAGAGGGATCTTGCTACAGGGAGGTGGCCAAGGAACAGCACTTCTAGGTGGCCACCAGTTCACATGTCCCTTCAAAAGCCTGTACTTTTCTCCACCAAACCATTGGGTTACCCAGCTGAGATGGCAAAGACAAGCAGATGTGGGCCCAGAACTCCAGAATCTCATCTAAGTGATGAGGCTCAGTGGTACACAATTTCAAGTGACAGTTTTAAGTTAACTTTTAGAAATAGATGAGTTGCAATAACTTTTAATTTCACACTGCACAAAAGAGAAAATGTAGTTTAAACCAGATTTGTTTTGAGTTTTAAGTCCTTTTCACTATACCACCATCCAAAAATATCATGTAGCTTTCAATTGTTTATCCACATCTGCCCCCTGTGTTTTAATGGCAGTCCCAAGTTGGACAAATCTGCATACCTGTGATTACTGGCAGTTTAGATAACTCATGGTCATTACTGTTTTGAAAGGAAAAGAGTATAAATTCTCTTATGGTTCAGAACAGGTAATAGATTTCAGTTTACATCTAATTAAGAAAAGAAAATAAATGAAGGAGTTCTCTGATCATATTGATCACTACAGAAGCAAAAGCCAAATCAGCCCCCTTCATTATCAGTATTTCCCATGCTGTACTCAATAGATGTGTTAGACTGAGTACTTGGTTTTTGTTTAATAGAACCAATAACCAGTGTTTGACTTATTACTAAATGTGAAAAGTATACTTACATTTACCTGCTTGTAAAATCCATTAAGTGTT